TAAAAGCTAAGGAAATGACACTTAAATGCAGCCTCATTAAAACAACTAGTTAACGCTCTTTGGGGACCTATATTATATGTATGTACTTCTCTGATGATCCAGCTTACTATGAGGATAAAATCTAGAATGTAGAGGAATGGAGGGATTATCTCTCATGTCAGACTGAAAAACAGATTCGGAGCACCTGGGTGGCTGAGTCAGTTTGAATGGCTGACTCTTCATTTTGGCTCAGGTTGTGAGATTGAGCCCTGGGTTGGGCTCTGTGCTCAGTGGGGAGTCTGCTTGAGATTCTCTCTCTACCTCTGCCCCTCCCCGCTCAAATAAATAAATAAATCTTTATAAGAAGAAAAGATCCAACAGGTTGTATTCTCTAGCAAGAATCTGAAACGTTTAGGTGCTCTACATTTCCGAATAAGGGCAAGTCAGGAACAAACATGGAACTTAAAAGACTAACCAAAACTTTCAGCATGGTTGTTATCCTACTTCTGTCTTAGAAGTATGATTGAAGGAGTATCTGCAGGTAAAAGAAGGATTTCTCTTTTTTTTTTTTTTTAAGTTTTTTGTTTTTTTAAAAAATTTATTTGACAGAGAGAGACACAGAGAGAGAGGGAACACAAGCAGGGGGTGTGGGAGGGAGAAGCAGTCTTCCCGCAGAGCAGGGAGCCCGACTCGGGGCTCGATCCCAGGACCCTGGGATCACGACCCGACCCGAAGGCAGCCACTCAATGACTGAGCCACCCAGGATTTAAGAGATTTAAGAGAAGGATTTCCATTAAAAACACTTTCATTCACTATAATTCATGACAGTGATTGATCAAAATTCTTATGTTTTTGGATGTAAGAGATTATTTGAGCCTGGAGAAAGTTTGAAGGCAAGTCTTTTAGAGACCAGTCACACCTGGAAACAGAAAACCATGGAACTTCTTGTATTCAGGAAGGTAGCTTCTTAGTAAAACTGCGCAGATGAATTTATTGTGAAATGTGCCCTCAAATTTTAAAAACTTAACTTTCCTTCTGAATTTTTGAACGTAAAATTTTTTTTTAAAGATTTTATTTATTAATTTGACAGAGAGAGACACAGCGAGAGAGGGAACGCAAGCAGGGGGAGTGGGAGAGGGAGAAACAGGCTTCCCGCTGAGCAGGGAGCCTGATGTGGGGCTCGATCCCAGGACCCTGAGATCATGACCTGAGCCAAAGGCAGACGCTTAACGACTGAGCCACCCAGGCATCCCTGAATTTTTGAATGTAAATTAACTAAACTCTGTTGGATATGTGCTCAGGGGAAAAAAAGATTAGTTTTCGATCAACTGATATTAAGCCATATACAATATAATATAATAACCCTATTTCATATTACTTGGCATTATGTAGACTGTCAGAAGGTTGGTCCTGCGGATCCAAACTCTTACAGTACTGAAAACAGGTTCTGTATAAGCATCATTGATTAGAAATCTATGATGAACTGATCCTGTTTACAGAGACAAGATTTGGGGAAAGATCACTATCAAATAGTAACATTTTAGGGAATCCAAAGGATTGGTGAGTGGGAGCTACTATCTGTTGAGCTATCTGTTTACTACCTAAAATGTAATGGGACTTATTAGCCTTGACAACATCGTTTTGAGGTAGGTTTTATTTTCCCATTTTACATAAGAGGAAAGGCTGAAGATTATTTTCCTAAGGTCACATGTAGTGATGATCTGGAATGCTTGACTCCAAAGCTTATCTTCCACTTTATTGATCCGCCTTCCAGGAAGCCAGAAGGGAGAGAGAGAATTTCATTGAAAGAGATAAGATTGACCTTAAATTAATTTCCCAGTCCGTGTTTGCCTTGTTTTAATAATGTCACGATATATTCTGGGTGTCACTTTACCTAGTATAGTTACATTATTCAGTGCTGTTGCAGAGCCACCTAAAAGTTTGCAAATTATTTCTAAAAGGAAAACCTATTAGGGACGCCTGGGTGACGCAGTTGGTTGAGTACATGACTCTTGATTTTGGACCAGGTCATGATCTCAGGGTTGTGGGATCAAGCCCTGTGTGGGACTCTGCACTCAGCTCAGTCTGCTTGTTCCTCTCCCTCTGTTCCTCCCCTTGCTCACGCTCTCTCTCTCTTTCTCTCAAATAAATAAATAAAATCTTTAAAAAAAAAAGGAAAACCTATTATAATTACAGACAGTACTTAAGATTTATTAAAAGTCTATCTCTAAGCAAAATAAGCCAGTCTCCAAAGACAAATACTATATGATTTCACTTACATAAAGTACTTAGTGTAGTCAAATTGGAGAGACAGAAAGTAGAATGGAGGTTGCCAGGAGCTGGGGTTGGGGGGAAAGGAAGGAATGGGGAGTTATTGTTTAGTGGGTATAGAGTTTTGGTTTTTCAGGATGTAGAAAGTTCTTGGGATGCCTGGGTGCCTAAGTCGGTTAAGTGTCCGACTCTTGATTTTGGCTCAGGTCATGATCTTAGGGTCCTGGGATTGAGCCCTGAGTCAGGCTCAGTGTTTAGTGGGGAGTCTGCCTGAGAATTCTATCCCTCTTCCTCTGCTCCTCCCCCTGAGCTTGTTCCTTCCCTCCTTCCCTCTCTCTCTCTCAAATAAATAATTATTAAAAAATCCTTAAAAAAAAGGTGTCGAAAATTCTAGAGATGAATGGTGGTGATGGTAGTACAACATTATGAATGTAAGTAATACAGCTGACTACACATTTAAAAATAGTTAAGATGGAAAATTTATGTTACATGTATTTTACCACAATTAAAAAAATTAGGGGGGAGCCTGCCTTTAAAGATGGACTTTTATGCTTAGGACAGTTTATGAAGATTACGTTTTTCCTAGGATGCATTGTCTTTACATTTTGCATAATAGATTGTGTTTGTTTGTTTTTTTTTTAAAGATTTTATTTATTTATTTGAGAGAGAGAATGAGATAGAGAGAGCATGAGAGGGGGAAGGGTCAGAGGGAGAAGCAGACTCCCTGCTGAGCAGGGAGCCCGATGCGGGACTCGATCCCGGGACTCCAGGATCATGACCTGAGCCGAAGGCAGTCGCTTAACCAACTGAGCCACCCAGGCACCCGATTGTGTTTGTTTTATATAATGTTTTAGTTTTTATGTACATAATTTCATGTAAGGTATTGATATAGGCAGAAATGATAAGTGAAATGTCATTAAGCAAATATATTAATCATGACGTTGAAGAGATCCTTTGTGTTATACTTCAACTAGAAATACCTAAGGAACTTTTTTTTTGTTTCACAAAAAAATTATTTTAAGTTTTATTTTGTTTAGTCTCAGCTTAGAAGGGAAGTGTTTTATGTTACCTAAAGGAAAATTATTTTTGTCAACTTTAAATTTGAAAACTAATAAAAAATCTGTGAAATGTTGAAGCAGTCAACCTTTTGTTTTTGAAAGGTATTTTTAAAGACATAGGGATGCTATAATAATCAAATTTCTTGGTCTAGGGGCGCCTGGCTGACTCCGTTGGTAGAACATGGGACTCGATCTTGGGGTTATGAATTTGAGCCCCATGGTGGTTGTAGAGATTATTTAAAAATAAAATCTTAAAATAATCAAGTTGCTTGGTCTAAATTAATAAGCTCATCCTTTAATTCAGCTTTTATTTGCTTGCAGAAAGTCAAAACATACAAATGGTAAATCCATCTCTTTCTAAAACTTATCAGTGGTAGAAAACAGTGATATAAACAATTGAAAAAGCACTAGAAATGTGTCTGTAAGTCTATTCTGAATGTGAGAGGTGTGGGGTGTCATATTTGTATTCAGTATTTTAGATGAAATGTTGAGGCAGGAGAAATTAGTAGATTTTATTTTATTTATTTAATTAATTTTATTTATTTATTTATTTATTTTAAAGATTTTATTTATTTATTCATGAGAGATAGAGAGAGAGGCAGAGGCAGAGGGAGAAGCAGGCTCCCTGCGGAGCAGGGAGCCCGATGCAGGACTCGATCCCAGGACCCTGGGATCATGACCTGAGCTGAAGGCAGACGCTTAACCGACTGAGCCACCCAGGCGTCCCTTATTTTATTTATTTTAAAGATTTTATTTATTTGACAGAGAAAGACACAGCAAGAGAGGGAACACAAGCAGGGGGAGTGGGAGAGGGAGAAGCAGGCTTCCTGCCGAGCAGAGAGCCCGATGTGGGGCTCGATCCCAGGACCCTGAGATCATGACCTGAGCCAAAGGCAGACGCTTAACCAACTGAGCCACCCAGGCGCCCCCAAATTAGTAGATTTTAAAGCATCTTGTCTCATTTTCTCCTTCAGTGCTTTTCCCCTTTGTTCTCTATTCTGTGCCACAGACCAAGACCTTCCTTTCCTTTTACTACATGATAATAGCTTGTGGCCAGTATTTTTGGTATGCCCATAGTTCTCTTAAGTTGGAGGATATAAATCTGAGGATAATAGGCCTTGTCTTGAGCTGCAGTTTGCATGAAGATGTGAAGATAAGGGACCATGAATATCAATTTTTGAAGACATTTATTACTTACAGAGACAACTTTTCAGGTTTCTTTTTCTATTATTATGTCAAAAATGTTTCTGAGATATTTCCTTCCTGGCTTCCCAACTAGAAGATGAGGAGGACACAGCCTGGATTAATGATTTTTTTTTTAAAGATTTTATTTATTTATTTATTTGAGAGAGAGAGAGAGCATGCACAAGTGGAGGGGAGGGGCAGAGGGAGAGGAAGAAGCAGAACTCGGGGCTCGATACCAGGACCCTGGGACCACGACCTGAGCCGAAGGCAGACACCCAACCAACTGAGCCACCCAGGTGCCCCTGGATTAATGATTTTATATTCAGACTGACCTAGGTTTGATTCACAGCTCCTCCATTGTGGTGGTCTAACCTACTCAAGCTTCAGTGTCCTCATCTTTAAGTATCTCTGAGCCCAGTAGCCTTGATAATGAGTTTTGATTTGTATTTTCTGACTTAAATAGTTAAAATACTACCCATATTTTAATGGCTTCTCTCTCTCTCATAGCTTCACAACCTCTGGATCAAGAAGTTTTATTAAAAGTTAAAACTGAAATTGAAGAAGAGCTAGAATCCCTGGACAAAGAAATTTCTGAAGGTCTGTTTATTCTTATTTTCCTAGTTACTTAGTAGACTCAGGTTGGTGTGGTTTACTGTTGCTTTGATATTTTACAGTAGAGCATTCTCAACATTACACAGCTTCATTGGTATAGGATTATAAAGGTGAAATTAGAAGGGATCCTTTTTCTTTCCTAGGGGATAGGTTTATAAATGTTTCCAAACCATACCTGACAGCCTTTTCCTGGTGTTAAGTAATATACTAAACAGTCATGTTAAGGTACTTTCCATTTAATGTCATTTGATTTGTATTGGTGTTTTTTTTTTTTTTTTAAGATTTTATTTATTTATTTGAGAGAGAGAGAATGAGAGAGATCACATGAGAGTAGGGAGAGTCAAAGGGAAAAGTAGACTCCCCGCCGAGCAGGGAGCCCGATGTGGGACTCGATCCAGGGACTCCAGGATCATGACCTGAGCCGAAGGCAGTCGCTTAACCAACTGAGCCACCCAGGCGCCCTGTATTGGTGTTTTTTTAATTAATAACAACATTAGAGGGGAAATTATAAGTAAGTTGCTTCCATTTTTGCATGGATGTATGCTATAGATAGTTGTAAGAGTAATATACATGTAATTTTGTGGGGGGTGGGTGCTAGCTGCTTGCTTTACTGGGATTCTATGCCCTGTATCCCACTGAACAACAATGATTCTGCCTGTTCTTCCCCCAGTTAGAGCATGGCAGTATAACATGGAGTAAGGAAGCAGATGAGAAGTTGGTAGTTTGAGCTGAGGAGAGAGAAGCTGTGGTTGTTTCTTTCATGTTCAACATTTTATACTCGTATCACCTTCATAGTTTAAACTTTATCCATGGGGTGCCTGGGTGGCTCAGTCGGTTAAGGGTCTGTCTTTGGCTTGGGTCATGGTCTCCGAGTCCTGGAATCAAGCCCTGTATCGGGCTTCCTGTTTGGAGGGAAGTCTGCTTCTCTCTCTCTCCCTCTGCCTCTCCCCACTGCTTGTTCTCTCTCTCTCTCTCAAATAAATTAATAAAATCTTTAAAAAATAAAAATAAAATTTATCCATATGCAGGAATATTGAGTTTGAGGTTCATTTAAAAAAAGGGAATGAGATATCAGGAGCAAGATGGAGGAGGAGTAGGAGACCTAAATTTCGTCTGGTCCCAGGAATTCAGCTAGATAGGGATCAAAGCATTCTGAACACCTACGAACTCAGTAGGAGATCGAAGAAAAGAATAGCAGCAACTCTCTGAACAGAAAAGTGACCACTTTCTGGAAGGTAGAATGTGCGGAGAAGTGAATCCGAGGCAATATTCGGGAAGACAGATGGTGGGGGAGGGGGCCTCTTTCAGCTGCTACCTGTAAGTGATAGAGCCGTGGAGCTTTTAGAAGTCGGCTCTGCTGAGGGACGTCGCTCCAGTGGCTAAGTGGGGGGTGGAACCCTTGCTGGGACAGTGTGGTCTCAGGACCCTTGGGGCCACAGAAAGACCGGGGGTACCTGAGTGCGGCAGAGCTCCCAGGTATCGGAGCGGGGAAGCCAGCTGCAGAGACGGAGCAGAGGAGCGGGCCCTCAGCTCCGGGTTGCCATAAACTGTGATCCGCGGCACAGTCGGGCCACTGCTCCTCCAGCAGGGACCCAACAAGCGGCAGATCCGGGGAGACTCCCCTTCCTCCCCTGGGAGGAGCGGTGTGGGAGCGCACTGCAGGGTTTCGAGACTCCACATGGGGCCGTGTACCAGAGATAGAAACGCTCGGTCACAGGCCGGGTGAGCATGGAGTGCGCCGGAGACTGGGGAGACGGGAGTGACTGACTGCTTTTCTCTGGGGGCACACTGAGGAGTGGTGCCCCGAGTTCTCGGCTTCTCCGGGGCGGAGATCAGGAGGCCGCCATTTTCACTCTTGTCCTCCGAAGCCCTACGGAAAGCTTGCAGGGAACAAAATCTCCCGAGAGCAAACTGGAGCAGATTACTTAGCCCGGACCTGGCAAGGGCAGGGCAATTCCGCCTCCGGCAAAGACATTTGGGAACCGCGGCAACAGGCCCCTCCCCCAGAAGATCAGCAAGAACAGCCAGCCAATACCAAGTTTACAGATCAATGAGAACGGCAGAACGCCAGCGCTAGGGGAATACCGCATATAGAATTCATGGCTTTTTTCCCCTGATTCTTTAGTCTTTCAAAGTTAATTTTTTTTATTTTCTTTTTTCTTTTTAATTTTTCTTTTTCCCTTTTTCAACCAATATCTTATCAATCCCTGTTTTTAAAAATCATTTTTATTTTTCATTTTTAGAGTCATATTCTATCTCTTCATAGTAGTTAACCTTATTTTTGGTATATATATAAGTTGTTCTCTCTTTAAAATATTGGGATACAGTTTCTTCTAACAGACCAAAATATACCCTAAATCTCTAGTGTATGGTTTTGTTCTAGTCTCCTGCCTGATCTCATTCTCTCCCTTTTTTTTTTAAATTCCTCTTCTTTCTTTTTTTAACCAACTTCTTATCAATTCCTTTTATAAAATCTTTTATAATTTTCATCTTTTTTTTTTCTTTTTTATTTGACAGAGAGACACAGAGAGGGAACACAAGCAGGGGGAGTGGGAGAGGAAGAAGCAGGCTTCCTGCAGAGCAGGGAGCCCGATGCGGGGCTCGATCCCAGGACCCTGGGATCATGACCTGAGCCGAAGGCAGACACTCAACTGACTGAGCCACCCAGGCGCCCCTATAATTTTCATCTTTACAGTCATATTCCATCCCTTCATCGTATTTATGCTTATTTTTGTACATATATAAGTTTTTCTTTCTTTAAAATTTTGGGAGGCACTTTCTTCTAACAGACCAAAATATGCCCAAAATCTAATGTGTGGCACTGATTTTTGCACCACCCTGATCATATTTGATCATATTCTTTTTTAAAATTTTTATTTATTTATTTATTTTTTTTTTATTTTTATTTTTTAAAGATTTTATTTATTTATTTGAGAGAGAGAGACTGAGAGAGAGAGCACATGATGGGGGGAGGGTTGGGAGGGTGAGAGGGAGAAGCAGACTCCCTGCCGAGCAGGGAGCCCGATGCGGGACTCGATCCAGGGACTCCAGGATCATGACCTGAGCCGAAGGCAGTTGCTTAACCAACTGAGCCACCCAGGTGCCCATATTCTTTTTTTTTTTAAATCTTTTTCTTTTTTTTTCTTTTTTCTTTCTTTTCCTTTCTTTTCCCCCAGTTTCAGGTCTCTTCTGATTTGTTTAGTGTATATTTTTCTGGGGTCGTTGTTACCCTGTTAGCATTTTGTTCTCTCATTCATCTATTGTCCTCTGAACAAAATGACAAGATGGAAAAAATCACCTCAAAAAAAAAGAACAAGAGGCAGTATCGACTGCCAGGGACATAATCAATACGGACGTTAGTAAGATGTCGGAACTAGAGTTCAGAATGATGATTTTAAAGATACTAACTGGACTTGAGAAAAGCATGGAAGATATTAGAGAAACCCTCTCTGGAGAAATAAAAGAACTCAAATCTAACCAAGTCGAAATCAGAAAGACTATTAATGAGGTGCAACAAAAAATGGAGGCTCTAACTGCTAGGATAAATGAGACAGAAGAGAGAATGAGTGATATAGAAGACCAAATGATGGAAAATAAAGAAGCTGAGAAAAAGAGAGATAAACAACTACGGGATCACGAGGGCAGAATTCGAGAGATAAGTGATACCATAAGACGAAACAATATTAGAATAATTGGGATCCCAGAAGAAGAAGAAAGAGAAAGAGGGGCAGAAGGTATATTGGAGCAAATTATAGCAGAGAACTTCCCTAATTTGGGGAAGGAAATGGGCATTAAAATCCAGGAGGCACAGAGAACCCACCTCAAAATCAATAAAAATAGGTCAAAACCCCGACATTTAATAGTAAAACTTCTGAGTCTCAGAGACAAAGAAAATCCTGAAAGCAGCTCGGGACAAGGGACCTATAACCTACAATGGTAGAAGCATTAGATGGGCAACAGACCTATCCACAGAGACCTGGCAGGCCAGAAAGGACTGGCATGATAATCTTCAGAGCACTAAATGACAAAAATATGCAGCCAAGAATACTATATCCAGCTAGGCTGTCATTGAAAATAGAAGGAGAAATAAAAAGCTTCCAGGACAAACAACAACTAAAGGAATTTGCAAACACGAAACCAGCCCTACAAGAAATATTGAAAGGGGTCCTCTAAGCAAAGAGAGAGCCTAAAAAGTAACATACACCAGAAAGGAACACAGACAATATACAGTAACAGTCACCTTACAGGCAATACAATGGCAAATTTCAGGCAATACAATACAAAATTCCTATCTTTCAATAGTTACCCTGAAGGTAAATGGGCTAAATGCCCCAATCAAAAGACACAGGCTATCAGATTGGATAAAAAAACAAGACCCATTGATATGCTGTCTGCAAGAGACTCATTTTAGACCCAAAGACACCCCCAGATTGAAAGTGAGGGGGTGGGGGCGCCTGGGTGGCTCAGTCATTAAGCGTCTGCCTTCGGCTCAGGTCATGATCCCAGGGTCCTGGGATCGAGCCCTGCATCGGCTCTCTGCTCGGTGGGAAGCCTGCTTCACCCTCTTCCATTCCCCCCTGCTTGTGTTCCCTCTCTCGCTGTCTCTCTCTCTGTCAAAATAAATAAATAAAATCTCTACCAAAAAAAAAAAAATGAGGGGGTGGAAAACCATTTACCATGCTAATGGACACCAGAAGAAAGCTGGGTTGGCAATCCTTATATCAGACAAATTAGATTTTAAACCAAAGACTATAATAAGAGATGAGGAAGGACACTATATCCTACTTAAAGGGTCTATCCAACAAGAAGATTTAACAATTGTAAATACGTATACCACTAACATGGGAGCAGCCAATTATATAAGCCAATTAATAACAAAAGCAAAGAAACACATCGACAACAGTACAATATTAGTAGGGGACTTTAACACCCCATTCACTGAAATGGACAGATCATCTAAGCAAAAGATCAACAAGGAAATAAAG